AGAATGAAGAACGAGTTCTGTTGGCCTCAGCAGTTAAAGACATTATCTCTGATCACAAATCCCTGCAAATTTAGAAGAAATTATTTTAAACTATTGTTTATCCAATAAAAAGAATGTATATGGTAACCACTTACTGAAATTCAGTTAACTGGAGTCTGAACTTCAGTTTTACATCAGGGCTTAGACAGATTCACTACTCTTTTTTTTTTTTTTGGCTAGGCAGTGGGGTTAAGTGACTTGCCCAGGGTCACACGGCTAGTGTTATATGTCTGAGGCCACATTTGAACCCAGGTCCTCCAGAATCCAGGGCCGGTGCTCTATCTACTGCGCCATCTAGCTGCCCCTAGATTCACTACTCTTAAGGAGTTAGAAAACATCATTCTAGTTTGATTAGTTACAAGTTGTTATGACTTTCAAAGGAAGTTTCTTCTTCTAGGCAGGTAACTGCCTCAAACATAGTAATGAAGATAAAAATGTTAGCAAAATGCTAACAGACATGATAAAATTCTGAATATCCTCAAAAAGCTACCCATCAGGTGAGGGTTATCTGTAGATCAAGCGGATGATCCTGGAGAAAGGCTTAAATGATGCATACATTCTATCAGCGCTCTCCACACTTTTCACATTCAGGTTACTGGCCAGAGGCCAAAGTATCCAGTTCCTAGGATGGGCATAACTCACCATACAGAAGGATGGGAGAAATCAACTCTCCATAAACAGCTTAGAGCAGGACTGAGACTTCTGGGACACCCTCTATTAATATGCACGAGGTGCATTCTTCATCTATCTGGCTAGAAGTCAATCTCAGGAGTCTATCAGGGCTCAATTAAAAGGAGCACAATTTCATCCACAAGCAGAACCATCTTCTCCATCCAAGGGGAGTCTCCTCACACGACTGCCAAACATCTCTGGTGGGCACAGACCAGCATATCGCTGTGAGAGGCTGACGCTCAGTGAATCAACTACCACTGAGGAAGAGAGCATGTAGATTGATCTACGCCAGTGGACAAAGTTCCCATGATGATGAGATCTCAGTCCACTGAAGTATGTAAGTGTTAAATGGTAATATTCACTGCAATCGTGATGTAATTATCTATGTCAGTATTTACCAAACAGGTACAAATTAAGGTCACAGCCCAGCTCTTCCATGAGCTCCCCACATCTCATCCTTACTCCTGACACATTTTGCCCCTCATGTGGCCCTAATCCCTGGCCCTGGGACTGTTTTCAAGCTGTTGCAATTTCAAGATGCTTCCAGAAATCTGGCAAGTGTTTAAACTCATGTTCTGGCCACAGCACTGAATCGGTGATTACGTATATACACTGTCCATAATCTCAGTATGGTTATTCTATGCATCCAGTCCTCTGCATGCTCAGAGCTTAAAAAAAAATCCCCAAGTACTTTTAAATCCCGTGTATTCAAAATGGTAACGTAAAAACACTGATAATTCTTACATGAAGGTCTCTTTCAAAAAGTTTTGTGGTTCTAAAAGTTCTTTATTAATATGGTTATTTTAGATTTATAATGTTCATCTGTTGTATAATTTATCATTTGTAATCGGTGGATGAACAAATATCTTGTGTGTGTGTTTATATCGTCAGGGTATCATCTGACCTCTAGTGGCATGTTAAGGGATGCACAGTGCACCATGGTAACTAGCTTTCACAATTCACATGTAAACATGCTGACTCAATATTAACATAGGATGAAGTCCAAAATAAAAACATTGAAACGTGTCTCTAAGAAGGATTTCACTAAATCTTTTTGTGGCTTTGCTCCCAACAAAATGCTGAAACTTCCAAAACCAAGAGGGCTTTCGGAACTTTCCTCAAGCTCCCTGGCATTCACCTGAATCTCCTTTCCCCAATTTTACTGCATTCTTGCCCTCAGTTCCATTATGTGAACGCTTCTAGTCCCACTGTGTCAAAGCTGGATAAGCTAGCCAGATGGAGCCGTGGTCAGTCACTGGCTCACATCTACCGCTCTCATTCACTGGAACTAGAAGTACACCCTGCCTTAGCACATGTGCAATTTCTTAGTATAAGAAAGAGGCTGGTCAAATTTCACATGCACAGTCCCATATTTTTAGCTTTCCAAATCTCTCTCAATGAGCTTTCAGATACGAAGATGATGCCTCTGACTCACCATGAAGAAGCAGGTGTGCAGTACACCATTCTATGGGCTAACCTAGGCCATCTATACTTAATTTCGTCATCCACTCTGTGACCAAGAACTTGTACCTAACAAATAGCTGCTTGCTCAGGGGGCCAGAATCTCCTCTGCGCAAAGAAAAATGAACCAGATGAGAAACAAATCTGCAGCCCTGATTTCAGCCACACCAAGCCTTCCCCAGCTGATCTCTGTGCACGTATTGTCATCAGCACTGTAGTCTGATGCAAGAGGACCAGGGAGTCACAACCACACCAGAAGGACAAAGAAAATCTGAGACAGAGTGACTGAGGAGACTTCAGAGCCCTCTTCCAGCACGGATCATCCCATGCATTCAGGTACATAGGTCCAATGATATACCTGAAAGCCTAACACTCTGGACTGTGAAAGCCTGGTGCAACAGGGTGCACCTACACCTGTGAGGCAAGCCTGAGGCCTGTTTCTGGACAACAGCATTTGATAGGGGTCTGACTATATTAAACTAGAATATTCAGTCTCCCTAAATGTTGCTTTTCCATACAAAGTTTGCTAAAATCTACAGAAAAGCAAGATTATTCTGCTGAGCAAAATCAGAGAAAGTTAAAGAAAAGCAAGATACTCAAAAGGGTTAAAAAAAAAGTTTCACATTTTTGATGAGAAAACTTCCTGAGTACAGATACCATGAATGTGACACTCACTTCTCAGCAATCCCTGCTAACAGAGGGGAGCAAGGCTGTGTATAACTGAAATCATTTTTATTTCTTTGACTTCAGGACGTTCACTTTGTGTTTACATTTGAATATGTGCCAGGTGGATATTCTGGGAACACACATTCAAAACAATCCACATTGTGAAAACCCACCCAAAGAGCCAGAGCTTGAAGCTGGAAAACTGACCAGCTTCTGCTCCACATCCTCCAGCTCCATCCTCCCAACCTGAGAGAACAAGCAGTAGCAATCAAAACAGGGTCTTGCATTTAGCTCAGAATTTATGTCCTTGGTGACTTTTTCTCTCACTATTTTCCTCTTTTTTTTTAAAATTCAGACAACACTAAGGCTCAAATACTTCAGCTCAGAGCCCAAAGCCTACAGAATCATGTACTCAAATACCAATGGAAGAGATCTTGAGTCACCTCTTTCTAGCCCCCTCATATTAAGGATGAGGAAACTGAGGCTTGCCCAAAGCTACTCAGTCAATTGGAGAGCTGGGTTTTGGCCCCAGGTTTCCTGAAACCAGCTTCCCAACCCTTTCATGCTAATTTCACTGCATTTCCCTGCTTGCTCCATCACATAACAGATCAGCCTCCAGTTAGTTTGGGATTATTTCCAGAATCAATGAAAAGGAATAAATAACTGAAACCCATACATGGAAAGGGAAGAGTTGTTTCCAATCCGCAGTTTTACAAAGGTGGGAAAAGTTGTGCAGAAGGAAGCCCAATAGGAACTGAGAGCTAAGAAAAACACTTAACTTGGCCTTTGGTGAAGTCCAATGACCATTCTGGGTCTGTTTCTTGATCTGTAAAATTAGGGTATTGGACCAAATGATCTCTAAGGTCCCTACTAACCCTACTGTCAAAAATGACTAAAGGCTGAGAAAAACACTGCTGTCTTCAAATGCCCTGGATACGTGCCCCTCCCCAGCAGGGGTATGCTAATCACCACAGGCAGGGAATAGGAAGGGACCTCAGAGATCCTCTGGTCTAATCCCTTCATTGCCAGATGGGATAAGTTACTTAGGGTCAAGCGCCTAGAGGTGGAAAAGACCTTAAAAAGGCATCTAGTCCAACCTTCCCATTTTATAGATGAGGAAACTGAAGCCCAGAGAAGTTAAGTTACTTAGTGGAGATCATATTGGTATTAAAGGGAGGTGGGGGTGGAATGTGAAACAAGCTCTTCTGCCTTCAAAACAAGTGCTCCTTCCACTGTAGCACAATTCCTCCTTCCACAGTCACCTGCTCACCGATGTATGTCACGTCTTCTCCAACTACCTGGATTATAAAGCTTCACAAGATGCCAAGACCACAAGGATTCTCCCTACCTTCACGAAGCCTGGATGGTTACACACCAGCTTTTCATGCTCTCCTCTGATCTCCACCTCCACCCTTAGTGAGGCAGATCCAGCAAGTATCATTATCCTCATTTATAGAGGAGGAAACTGAGGCATGGAGAAATTAATCACCCAGGGTCATAACAAATAGACTAAGGAGTTATTAGTTATAAGACTGGACTTTCTAAAAGCTCAGGCAGAATTTTGGGAAGGCGAGATTTTTGTCGGAGGGGGAAGAGAACAGGATGAGGGAGGTGAGGAGGATGGAGGGGATGCAGAAGAAGGGGGCCAGGAGGATGGAGACAGAAGGGATGGAGGAATGGAGGGACAGAGGGGATGGAGTGAAGGAGAGGAGCACAAGGGATGAAGGAGGTGGAGGGGACAGGGAAGGGATGGAGGTGGTGGAGGGAAGAGGAGGATAAAGAGAGGGATAGAAAGGAGGATGGAGAAGATGAGAGGATAGAGGGGGGATGGTAGGGATGAGGAAATAGAGGGGGGATGGTAGGGATAGGGGGATGGGAAGGATGAAGGGATAGAGGGGGATGGTAGGGATGAGGGGAGGGGAAGGGATGAGGGGATGGGAGGATGGGAGGGATGAGAGGATAGAGGAGGATGGGAGAGATGAGGGGATAGAGAAGGGATGGTAAGGATGAGTGGACAGAGGGGGGGATGGTAAGGATGAGGGGACAGAGGGGGGATGGTAGGAATAGAGAGATGGGAAGGATGAAGGGATAAAGGGGGATGGGAGGGATGAGGGCATGGATGGGGGGCTGGGGGAAGCTCGGGGGTCCCCGCAGGCCCGCACCTTCTTGTCCCAGATCTGTAAGGGCTTGCTCCCGATGCTGTAGAGGATAGAGAGGAAGCCGCTCTGGAACGTGTTCTTGAACATCGCGCCGGCAGCCTCTTCCTCGCCCCGGTCCTCGCTCCGGTCCCCACCCTCCGCGGGCCCGGACCGGCCTAGGCCCCGAGGCGGCTCCGCGCGGGGAGCGGGGGGCCCGGCGGCTCAGGCGGCCTGCACGCTGCGTGCGCGGCTCCGAGGGACCTCCGCTCCAGCCCCCGCCGCCGCGCCTCGGCTTCCCGACGCCGCCGCCGCCGCCGCCGCCGCCGCCGCCAAGCAACCGCTTGTCGCGCCTCCCGCCCTCCGCTTCGACCGACGACGCTCAAGTGGGGCGGAGCGCCGCGCACAGAGATCCTTCCGCCGGGCCCCGCTCGACTTCCGGCGCCCAGCGACTCTGGGGGCCCGCCCCCGACCCCGCCCCGCGCGAAAGAAGCCTCGTTGCCTGGGAACTACTTTTTTTGACATTTGACCGGCTCGGCTGGCCGAGGCACAGTTTGTTGTCGGCGCCTGCGTGATACCATGGGAACCGCAAGGGGCGGGGCGGATGGAGATCTGGAGCAAGGTGGCCACGCCCCCTGGCGGAGGAAGGCGTCAGGGGAGGAAGGGAGGGAGGAGGAGCTAAGAGGGCCCTGACGGACTGGGGAAGCCTGGAAGGGGTTCAGAGACTGGGCGGGTCCTCACTATAGATCTACCGCAGGCTGGCGGGGCGGATAGACTCCTGAGCTCGAAGTCGGGAGGAAATTCTAAGATGCTTATTAGCTGGGTGACACCTGGGGAGACGGTGACCGTCTGTTTCTTCTGTAAAATAATGATAACAGCACCCACCTCCCAGGGTGGTAATGAACTCTTAACTACTTTTATTCTCTGTAAAATAATAGCGAATAGGTAGATAGATAGATAGATAGATAGCTCATTAAGGTTTGCAAAGCACTTTGCACTCTGTTATCTCCGTGGTCTGGCCTAGCCATTCTTCTCTCCTTCTACAGTTTCACTTCGTGATCTCATCAACTCGCATAGATTTAATTACCATCTCTATTCTGGTAACTCTCAAATCTACCTTTCCAGCCCCAGCCTCCATGCTGGCCTCCAACCTCGCATCTCCCAACTGCCTTCCAGACATCTCAAACTGGATGAACAGTAGACATCTTAAACTCAACATGTCCAAAATGGAACTCGTTATCTTTCCCACTAAACTCTCTCTGCCCCCCACCCCTCTTCGCTATTACTACGGAGCTAACACCATCCTCTCAGTCCCTTGGGCTCACAACCCAGGAGTCGAGGATTCCTCACTTTCTCAACCCTGCCCCGCAATACACAAACTGTTGCCAAGGCTTGTCGATTTCACCAGTGCAGAATCTCTAGTCAATTTCACCTCTTGCTGCATCTCTTGTCAATTTCACTTCTACTGCCTCTCTCCAGTATGCCCCCTTCTCTCTGACAGCAACCCTGATACAGACCTTCTCATCACCTCATGCTTGGGCATTGCAAGGCCTGCCTGCCTGAAGTTTCTCTCCACTCCAATCCCCCTCCATTCAGCCACTAAAATAATTTTCCTAAAATATAGATTTGATCATGTTACCTACTCCCCACCTACTCAATAAAATTCTCTGGCTGTCCCACATACCTGAAATGCTTCCCCTCCTCATCTCTACCTACTGTCTTCAAGTCCCAACTAAAATCCCATTTTCTACAGAAAGCTTTCCTCAATCGCTTTTTTAATATTTTATTTTTTCCAATTATATGTAAAAATTGTTCACATTCTTTTAAAAAAAATTTTAGTTCAAAATTCTCTCCTTCCCTCTCTCCCCTCTTCCCCTCATTGAGAAGGCAAGCAATTTTATATAGGTTATACATGTGCAGTCATGCAAAACACTTCCATATTAGTCAAGTCATGAAAGAAAACAGACCAAAAAACAAAAAAAATCAAGAAAATATATTTTTTAAAAGTATGCTTTGATCTGCATTCAGACTTCATCAGTTCTTTCTGGAGATGGATGGCATTTTTCATCATGAGTACTTTGAATTTTTTTGGCTCATCATATTGCTGAGAATAGCTGAGGCATTCACATTGATCATTGTATAATTTTGCTGTCACTGTGTACAGTGTTCTCCTGCCCAAGCCTTCATGATTCTAGTGCCTTCATCCTTTTAATTACTTCCTACTTATCTTGTATTTGGCTTACAATTTATTTGTTTGTATGTTGTCTCCTCCATCAGATTGTGAGCTCCTTGAAGGCAGGGGCTATCTTTTGCCTCTTTTTGTGTTCTCAGTTCATAGTATAGTCCTTGTCATAGAGTGGCCACTTAAAAATGTTTATTGACTGACAATGCTGTAAGTTATTATCCTCATTTTATAGATGAGTAAACAGACTGAGAAAGGTTAAGTGTCTTGCTCAGGGTCACACAGCTAGTAAAGTGTCTGAAGCCAAATTTGAACTCAGGTCTTCCTGACTTCAACACTTATCCACATCTCCACTTAGTATAGCACCCACTTCACAGGGTTTTGTTTTGTTTTTTTTTTAAGTCACTTAAGCTTTCTCAGCCCTGGTTTCTTCATCTGTAAAATGAGAATAATCAATCAGTCAACATTTATTAAGTACCTATTATGTGCCAGGCACTGAGGATGCAAAAAGACAAAAAACCAAACAAACATAAAAAAACCCCAAACAGTTCCCTGCTCTCAAGGAGCTTGCAGTCTGATAACAACAAACATTTCTCAGGGTTGTCTTGAAGATCAAATGAGATAGCATTTAGAGCACTTTGCAAACTTTAAAGTCTATAGCAATGTTACCTATTATTTTTACAGAGGAGGACACTGAGGATCAAATTAAGTGACAGCCAGTTTAATTGAACAACAAACATCTATTAATCACCTTCAACGAACAAGGAATTGTGCTCGGTTCTGAAGTTTCAAAGACAAAAAGGAAAAATAGTCACAGACTTCAGGGAACTTCTGTTCCACTGAGGATATCCCCCACATGGAAACAGACCAGGTAATTTGAGCTAATTTGAGAAAGGGGAAAGTACTTGGGATGACAGGAGGGGGAATCAGGGAAAGCTCAATGGAGAAGGTGATGCTTGGGTTGAGCTCTGAAGAGGCTGATGTGAGGAACAAGGTCATATTCCAGGTGTAGCCAGAAGCCAAGAACCCCAAGTTCCGACTCTGGTTGCAGAAGACAAGCCTTGACTTCATGCCACAACACTTTCTGTATAAAACAACAGAATGGACTCCCAGCAATCCATCAGCACTGAACACAATTCTCATCCAAATCCAGTCATTCCAGGTGGTCTTGCCTTCACTCCAGGGACTGATATAGGCTCGATGAACTTGGAATGCCCTCCTAAGGGAACACAAACTTGACGGTGCTCAAAAGGTAACCCTCCTTCTCATTAGATGTGCACTGTCCGAATGGCTCATAGTCAGCTTTGCTTCCCCACATCATGGCTCTGTCCTTGGCTGCATCCCTCAGCTCTGGGGCCAAATGCTCAGTGCTCTCCTCCTCAGCCCAGGCACACCCCTTTCTTCTCTCTCTAGAACAACAGGTCCCGGAAGACTGGGGTCTGAGAACTCCCCTACTCAACCCCCTGTGGGGCAGGTTCCTGGTCCCCACAGCTCGATCTGGGAATTTGAGGAGCTGAAACATTTGTCGCTCAATCATTAGCTCTGTCTGCTGCCGACTTGCAGACTGAAAGGCTCTGCCGGGGGCCTCTCCACAGCTGTCATAGCTGGGACTGAGGAGGCGCCAGTCTCAGCTCAGGCTTCACCCCTAGGAATCAAAGTTGGCTTTCATGATTCTGGTCTCAGCTTTCTCTGCACCTTCTAAATGGTCTTGTCTGCCCCTTTCTATAAATCAAAGACAAACCTGATACCCAACCCACAGCAGCCTGAACCATCATCACATTATCCCCTGGCTAGAGACTTGTCAACATTGTTATTGTTAGTGTTATCTTTTATAACATCCTATTTCTAACATATCCCTGCTACCTTTACATTAAAGGGCTTTAATAGCTTCATATTAATATGCTCCCTCAAACTTGCCAACCTCCCAATTCCTGGACCATCTTAAATTGTGACCTACTCCCCTCCTTCATTCTGCCTCAACCACACCTGATCCCATTCTAGATCTCATCATTGGCCATGGGTCTTCCATTTCTTTAGTTACAGACTCTGACACAAGCCTCTAACTAGGGGAAAGGACTTTCTAAGTAACTCTCCATTATCACAGCTGGTTTCAATTCCAGCCCTTAATACAATGCCCAGCATATAGTTAGGTGCTTATTAAGTGTTCACTGAATCATCCTATCCCAATTCACCTTCAAACTTCAGCCCTTAGTTACTCTCACCATTCTACTCCCCTTAGCTAGCCCCTTTCAGTTCTTTTATTCCTCTCTAACTGATTCACTGCTAAAAGAAGCTGTTCCAAACCTTCTCTTCCCTCTTTAAGCCCCCCAAACTCCCCTTCTTGGACTCTGGAGGAGAGAGTGAGGCTGATGACTTTTCCTAACTCTGCTTCACTTAAATCCAGTTCACTTGCAAGTCAAGACATTACCACCATGATGTCACTGGTCCTCTTCAGGAATGAAGGACAGACAACCACCACCACCTCCCTCACCCCCTGCCCGCCCCTTACCTCTATCAAAGCTGAGGACCTTGCCTCTTATTTTACCAAGAAAACTGTTGTTACTATTGTTCAGTTGTTTCAGTCACGTCCAACTGTTTGTGAGCCCATCTGGAAAAGATACTAACGTCATTTGAAACTGAGGCAAACAGGGTTAAATGACTTGCTCAGGGTCACACAACTAATAAGTGTCTGAGGCCAGTTTGAAGGGCAGGCCAAGAGCTCTATGTACTGTGGTACCACCTAGCCACCCACATCTTAAATTGAACATGTCCAAAACTAAACTGATAGGGGCAGCTAGGCGGTGCAGTGGATAGAGCACCAGCCCTGGAGTCAGGAAGACCTGAGTACAAATTCAGCCTCAGACACTTGGCACTTACTAGCTGTGTGACCCTGGGGCAAGTCACTTAACCCCAACTGCCTAAAATAATTTTAAAAAATTAATAGTTACAAGAGACTTCAGAGGTTCAGCCCCATTGTTTTATAGATGAGAAAGCTAAGGCTTAGCAAGGTGAAATGCCTTACCCCAAATCACACAGGTGGAAAGTGCTCAATGTTCAGACTTAATTAGT